CACAGACTCGACAGTAGTGGAATTTCTCAGACGGCTCTTGTCAGGGTAACCCTGCATGGATCATGTGTGGCGGGGGCGATAGTGTCACATGATTCTGGAAATACTAGTAGCCAAGGCGTCAGATAGCGGACCAGTTGGCAAAATATACTGCAAGGAGGCCTCATCACTAAACGACCAATATGATGTCATAATAATGTCAGATGTTAGAAGTGCAGACTAGATATGTACCAAATTTAAATGACAAAGTATTCGACTGTGAATTACGGTTGACATACTTGCAAGGCCTGTTACGAATGATTCCGACAATAGAAATAGGCGTGTTATACACCATTTTGGGGCTAGGATGAAATTTGAAAAAAATAGGCAGGAGAGGAGTTTTGAGTAAAAAAAAAGGCAGGATGAGATTATTTGCAAAAAAAAAAAGGCAGGATGACAATTTATGTAAAAAAAAAAGTCAGGATAAACTAAAAAAAAAGCCAGGACCGAATAGAGTGAAAAATAAAAAGGCAGGACCGAATAGAGGGAAAAATAAATAGGCAGGACAAAATTTTTCATCCTAGCCCCCCCCATAAAAATCAAATGGTAGCTCCCTAACTATATACATTTTACAGGCAAATTTTTGAAAACTTATGTACTAACGTTGGCAAGTAACCACATAAGTTTGGTTCCAACTTCAAATTTGGAAAAAAAGGCATGTTCGAAATTAACCAGCCCGCTAGAAAGACATTTTTGGGAGCATTACAACAGAGCAAAACAAGTATGATATGATATAATATGATATGATATCATAGTGTGTATACATATTGACAGGGTAAATCGATATATTACGGCTGAGATTTATTACTAGTTTAACAGTGTTATAATCTGTTATAGTAATCTCAGATTACGGTTGATGTTCTAGAATGCTAGAGAAGCGGACTTAGCCGTGGGATCTAGACAGTGTCTAGGGGCAACACACGTGCTACTAGTATTAAAAAATAAGATTACCCTTCAGTAATATCATGGTCAAAACTCTTTACAGGAACCTGGAGCTTCTTGGGGAATAATAAAGATTAATAGTTAAAATCGGTAGTAAAAATGTATTCATTTATGAAATCTACTTTCATATTCCGGTCACGATTTAATAGCACAAACTGGATCTGAATAGTCTTGAAAACTATTGTCAGTCTAAAGTAAAATCACAAAAATACTGAACTCCGAGGAAAATTCAAAACGGAAAGTCCCTAATCAAATAGCATAATCAAATTATAAAACACATCAAACGAATGGACAACAACTGTCATGTTCCTGACTTGGTAAGGCATTTTCAATTGTAGAAAATGGTTGATTGAACCTGGTTTTATAGCGCTAAACCTCTCACTTGTATGACAGTCGCTTCAAATTCCATTATATTTACAACGATGCGTAAACAAAACAAAGGTTCAACAGATCTAAAAATAGCAATACTATAATACAGACACTTTTAAATTATATATATCGAGGACTAATAATCAGATACTCAAGATCAGTTTATGATTATGATGATGGATTGGTATTTTTGTAAAGTAGAAAATATTGCATGCATATCGAGAGAACATATTAATGTGATATGAATACAAGCCTGAGTCAAACGCTTAAATGTCTCGCCTGCTTTACTTATGACTGAATTTCATACTATACGCTGAATATAGTTAGCCTATTGCTTATATCACTAGTATATGAGAAACAACCTTTATTACAAAAAAAAATGAACATTGATCAATGAGCCATACAAATGAGGTCAATGGCATATGATCCCTGCCAGACAACATGTACACCATACAATCATTCCATTCGCCAAATCGGACATATGTCTCTGACCAAATATAGGGCCCCATTGCTTACAGTATCTAAGAAACAGACCAAACCACAAAAACTTACAATTGACCAATGAACCATGAAAATGAGGTCAAGGTTACCTGCCAGTCGAACATGCAATCATTCTACACGCCTAATATAGTTGACTCTTTTCTTATAATATATGAAATACGAACTTGGCCATGTAAACGTAACCTTGATCATTGATCCATGAAATGGGGTCAAGGTAAGGAGAACTCTGTCTGACGGACATGTAGACCTTGCAAGGATCACACATATAGGCAAGATAAGGCCAATTTCAGAAAAATATCAAACTTTTTTTGTATGAGGCTTAGGAACTGAGGAAAGGCGAGGTATCCGAGCTCCTCTACTGTTTTGTGCCAAATACAAAAAAGTTGATATATTTCTGACATTGACCTAATACTGTTTTTATACTGCAGCTTAAAATGGCTTCAATAAGTTATGAAAATGTTAACACAAGAATAAAACGAATTTTCCACCCCTAAGCAAACCCAAAATTGTGAAGAAAAGCGATGTACTATGAAATCGACCTCGAACATCACTTTGTTACTATATTTCGTTGACAAAGACAACAAGTGTTCTAGCTGCATTATAAACCAAATATAGTTATCTTTTACTTATAATAAGTGAGTATTTCATATGAAAAACAAAATGACCCAGAGGGCGCAACTTGATCTGACCGCATAGGTTGAATCCTGAATAGGTGGGGCAAGTATGGACACACCATTCAAGCTTGATACAGCTCTGAATTTGGATTTTGTGATTAAATATTTGACACAGCATAGGTTTCTGACACAGGATGAATGTGGTCCAAGAACTTAAAAATTTGAAATTGGACATTTACCTGTTATGGCACAATATCCAAAATTTAAATACTTAGTTAGATTCAGCATATCAAAAAACTCCAATAATTCAATTTTTTATGAAATCATACAAAGTTAAATTTTGGACCCTTTGGACCTCAGTGTGGACCAATTTAAAAACGGAACCCGTAATCAAAATCAAAATACAGTTAGATTCAGCATATCAAAGAACCCCAAGTATTCAAGACTTTGAAACGCCATTGAAATTGGCCAAGAAATAAGCAATTTATACACAGTATCACAAAACTATGTTTGGCCTCATTTTCTTGAACATTTAGGGCCATAACCCCCAAAATCAAACCCAACTTTTCCTTTTTGGTATGAAACGTTGTGGTACTATTTTATATAAGTCCATAGACTTATACTCAAGTTATAACCCGGAAACCTGAAAATGCTTGTTTTTGGCCCCTTATTCCTAAACAGTTAGGACAATAGCCCCAAAATCAATCCCAACTTTCCATGTGTGGTATGGAATCTTGTGGTACGATTTCATAGAGATCCATTTTGTGATAATCACGTTATTGTCTGGAAACCAAATGTTTTTGGACAACGTTGACGTCATACTATTATATGGCGGCAAAAATTTTGCATTGTATAATTCTTATAAAATTTTTCAAGCAGTTGCTGAACCATGAAAATGAGGTCAAGGACAAAAGGTATATGACAGACGGAAATTTTGTAGCATAAGGCATCTTCATACTAGGTATGAAGCATCCAGATCTTCTACCACCTTATACAAATAGTTTAAGCTGTCGCCTCCAGATTATAGTCCCTATGACTAGCATTTTGCTACTTTTGTCGCAGGCGAGACAATAAAACCAGCATTGTACTAGACCAACATGCTTAACCATATTTTTAGCCTGATAGTTCACAAGGTAAGTTCATATGAAGACATGTCAACCTACCAGGACACATTTTTTGGAAATCAATCCGACCAGTCTATGCTCCAACATCTAAATGCTGTGTGCTTAGTGGTAAAGTAGTAAATACCTATTTTCAACACACAACACCAGACCACAGAGGCAGTTATTTCAGTTTATGAGCTGTTCTTATCTATAAATAAACTGTTAACACAGAGATATGTCTCGCCTATTTGTTATTTTGATAATGCAAATGTTGAAATTAAAATAGCAATACTTTAACATGTAAGTTATGCAAATATTCAAAGTCAATGAACCATGACTGAAGGTACAGGGCTAAACAATCTCCATGGAAATGAGATGTGCCAATGCTAATACAACTGCAAACCAAATACCATTGACTTTTCATAAGTCGTTCCCTTTAAACAAACCTAAACACAAACATTAACTTGTAAACTATGTAAAAGTTTCAAAGTCAATGAACCATAATTAGGGGTTGGGGTTATATAATCTCCATGGAAATGAAACTTGCAAATGCCAATAAATTTGCATACCGAATATCATTGACTTAACATTAGTGGTTCATCTGAATTGACCTAATAACAAACCAATACATGTAAACTAAGCAAAAGTTTCAAAGTCAATAGAACTTGACTGAGGGGTAAGGACCAAATATTCTCCATGGAAATGAGATGTGTTAATGCTTATACAACTGCATACCAATTATCATTGACCTATCACTAACAGTTACCCTTAAACTGACCTAATCACAAACTAATACATGTAAACTAAGCAAAGTTTCAAAGTCAATAGACCTTGACTGAGGGGGCAGGGCCAAATAATCTCCATGGTAATGAGATGTGCCAATGCTAATACAAATGCATACCAAATATCATTGACATACCACTAGTGGTTCACCATGAACTAGACCTAATCACAAACTAATACATTGTTGGAGCCGCTGTTGCCGCCGCCGACAACAGCATACATATGTCTCGCTTTTTGACTCTGTCAAGGCGAGACAAAAATAGGCCTATAAAAGTCTTACAATGTATTTTTGATGAAAATAAGTTTGCACCTCACTTATTTTATTAGTATTGTTTTTAATTCATGAAAATATTATCAGTAAAACAGTACAATCATCTCCCCCCTCGATTATGGTGTTCAATAACTATATACTGTATACTGGTAACTTTCTTTATATCAGAAGGGGTTGTTACAGCAACTCTGGTAGAAATAAATCAAACTGCATGAAAATTTGTGATCAATATATAGATTGTTTTGACAAAGTTCTTTCACGACTAGTAATAACAGGGACAGATGGATAAACGTAGAAACTAACGAGAGAATACTATGCCCCCGTGGGAACGAAAATGGACCAGGAGATAGTACTAAATCTACAAAATATAGAAATAACTCCTTTAAGAGGTTAAAATGATTTATTGGATTCATGACATAAAACAAAACTTAAATAAACTAACAATAACATTCACTTGTCAAAATACAACACATCTTCCTCATTGTACTTAATAAATAAATCTATATAAAGATGTATGGTAAATTTTCTATGTACCTCTTTTAAACAGAAACTTGTAAAGTATTCCTTATACATTTACTTGACTCACTCGATGTAATATGTTCTGTGCAATTAAAAATACTTGAAAAATGGATTGATAAAAGCTTGTTCGGCATTCAGCGGCCAGTTTGAAATTGGCATACAGCCTAAACTCTAAATTTGTAAATGTTTATTTTTAATAGAATACTTTGATCGACATAAGCTGTGGACTTAGGAAGAGAAAAACATTCTTTTGGAAAAAATTTTAATGTCACAAATATCTATTTACATGAGATTTTATTGTACCAGTATAAGAAACAGTTATAAATAAAACTTTTAAGAGAGCAAACATCAAATATTTCAAGAGCTCTGTACTATAATTAACCATGTGATCACAGAAAAGACTAGTTGTATATACAAAAGGAGGAAGTTTGGTAAGAAACATTATTTCGGCCATGAAATTTCAAAAAAGTAAATTTTTTTAATCCTTTCAAAATCATGTTTAGTTCTATTCATAAATGAATAAGATGATGTGATCTGGAAAACTTCAGAACCGAAATATCAGTTGTTGTGATGTAACTATGATGTCATAAACATGTTGAACTTGACATATTTGACCTAAATCCATTTCAAACATTGGTTTTGGGGGAAATTAGATATAAGTCAAGGTCTTACATAAATCGATATTTTACCAACATCAACATCTTTTTATTAGACAACTTGTAGCAAAATATCTTGTTGGCCGACATTTAAGTATTGATGCCATCAAGATGTCAAAAATGAATGTTACTTGAACAATATATCAAATTATTTTTTTCTTCTTTTTGTTTGGTTTAGAAGTGAGGAACACAATATAGTGAAATACTTAAATATTTTTTTCATATAATTGAAAAAATAAAATATCACATGGGATACTAGGAACATCTAATAAATAACAAAATACAATCAATTTCAGAATTCATTCAGTTACATGAAGTTTGTAATCATACAATTTGTTTAACGATGGAAATAACAATAAATCTTCTCTTTTCCTGAATTTTCATCATCTTTATGCCTGAAGTTCATGACTGATGATATTCCATTTACATCTTTTAAAGTTGTATAATATGATCATATAAATGATATGCTTTCATTAAATTTATTAAAAAATACTGAACACAAAACTGAAAATGGCTGTCATATTAAAAATATCTATAATAATTCTATTGCAAAATAATGTCAAATAGATAAGATATGCTATTCCATGCTCTGAACCTTCCGACAAATTTCTTGAGTTAATTCTGAACACTTTGAAGATCCTCCTAAATCGCCAGTCAAAACCTAAAAACAGAAATTTTAGTTTATCAAGCTGATTATATATTTGAGTTGAAACATAATTCTGGCATTTAAGAATACAGGTAGTCCACTATTTTGTCTATTATTTCACTTAAAAGTTAACACAAAATGTTACTTTACCATAATTTAATTAAACAATTTATGTCCTCTAGGTAAATTTTTCATAGGTTAAGTTGTTTCCGCTTTTTTACCCCACTTCCACAGATTAACATTTGGCATGGCCTGGATGAGGGTAAATATTCTTCCTGGTACATGTCTAGGATGAGCAAGGAGCCTTTTATTGTTAGTGTAGGACCGTTACCTTTCAAAATTTCAAATGCCACATTCCAATTCCTGCATTTATACCATTTTTTGAAGTTTTTGTGCTATAATATATCTATTCCCTTTTTTCTAAATCTGAAGATTTTTAAAATATGTTTTTGCATTTTGAAAATTCTTATCTTAGCTGCTTATTGACGTAAGAGGGACAGTGATATTTCACTTCAAAAAGGTAAAATTAAGTGTCATTCTCAAAGAAAATTATATAAGTTTATCAAAATCACAATGTCTGTTCAAATTTTCTAAGGACTGTTCTCTTCAAACAAACATTTATGGTACAGCCCAAATTTTCAAATGGGAGTGCTCTTCAAAAGATCATATTTTATGCATATTTTCCTACTTTTAAAACAAAAACATAAAAAAATTAAAAACATCGTAGAAAAGAAATAATATTTGTCCAAATGAGTTAATATACCTTTCCCTCTTTAATAACTTCAAATGCTGAAGACTCTATTTTACGAGCATGTTCTGTGTAACCTAGATATCTAAGCATCATAACTGCACTAAGTAATAAAGCTGTAGGATTTGCCTTGTCCTGACCAGCTATGTCTGGGGCAGTACCATGCACCTGTAAACAGAAAAGTACCTGTCACGGACAAAATTAAGAGCTGTGACTATACAAATAAAATAAGGAATGATAAAGTTCCTTTACTCCTTCCAGATATGGTACTATCAATGAGTGTTAAACAACCCGGACTAGCAACAATTGTAAAACATCCCACAACTTGTATTCTATGTGCATGGACAGAATTTAAAGAAATGATGCTATAAATAATCAATTCAAAATAAAACAAAATATTTATATATGATATACAATATGAACAAGTGTATGGCAGTGCAGTACCGGTATTTTATAGGTAGTGATGGTGCTATCACTTTTGAAGGATTATAGGGTTCATTCAAGTTAATAAGTTGAATTTAATTCATATGTACCAATAAGTTGAAGTGTATTATTTAAAAAGTAGTGATGGTTTTAGAGCCTTCAAATGTTACAGCAGAGACTATGCTTTTGATGGATTATAAGGTTAACCAGAGTTCATTTAAGTTGAATTAACTTTCATAAAATGGGCTTTCAATTAAGTACCCATACACAGCTTCTTCAAGCCATGTCCTCACCTTTTCAAAGTATGAGCAACATAGACTGTTGACACAGAGATATGTCTCGCCTATCGGCATAAAATTTATAAAAAGATGGTCTGATGGACAGCAACATTGCTTATTAATTCAGTCTTTGGACCATGATCTAGTGGGCAGGGCGTGAAAATGGTCGACAGACTGAGATTTACAGTCAGTAATGTAACTTTATAGAAAATATAGTTGTTTATTGTAAGTTCGTATCAATATAACTTAAGCATAAAAACTTAACAGTGAAACTTGCTCATTAATTCAAAGTCACTGGACCATGTCCTAGGGGGGCAGGGTCTCAAAATAGTGTCAAACTGATATGTACCGATAGTAATGCAACTTTATACAAAATAGCATTGATCTATCACAAGTAGTTCTTATCAAACTGACTTCAGCAGAAAAACTGAACATCGAAAATTGCTAATCAATTCAAAGTCACTGGACCATGTCATAGGGAGCAGGGCTTCAAAATAGTTGTCAAACTGATTATGTACTGATAGTAATGCGACTCTATACAAAATATCATTGATCTATCACAAGTAGATCTTATTAAACTAACTTAAGCAGAAAACTTCTCAATTATAGACGCCATCGCCGGAAAAGCAATCCCTATGTCTCGCTTTCCGCGAATTTCGTTACAGGCAAGACAAAAAACTGTGCATAGAGAACACTAAATATTGACCTCTAAATGTCTTTTATGTTTGATTGTACTAAGGTTGCTCTCTCAACTTGCTACTTTCTTTCCAAGTCAGTTATTATAACCTTCACCCATCTCTTGACTTAAAAACTTTCAAGTTGCAAGTTGCTATCCCAATCCCCAATCCTGATGGTACAATTTTCAATATGATTTTATATATAAACAATGATATTTAGGTTACCGATTCAAAGATAGCACCATCCTCTCCAATATTGCCACTAGGTGTCACTCCTAAGCCTCCAATTAATCCAGCACAGAGATCACTGAAAAAAAAAATAATTAACCTTTATTGTCTGTTAGATAAAAATTACAGGAATGTTTAACAATAAATATATAAATTTTCAGCATTGAAAATTCTAGAAATTATCCAATCACCTTTTGTTTACATGGAAATAGTTTAATTAATAATTTTTTTTTAATTTCTTATGAAAAAATTATTAGTAAGAAGGACAAATTCATGGACAACAGATAAGCTGAATAAACTGTAAGCACTGTCAAGCTTGTTACCTAATATGAAGTAAATTTATTCAGTTGTTCCCCACAAAAGTGTGACGAAAATATTTGTTCATTCAACATATTGAAAATTCTTAGTATCGGCAAACAGGCAGTAGGTGTCAGACAATTCCCAAAAGTGCTTAAATGTTACCACTCATGACTGTCCAGCTGATGACCCAAATATGAGGTTAATCTGTACAGTAGTTCCTGTGAACAGTGTGATGATAATATTTCTTCGTCGAACAATTGAAAGAGACAACGTAATTGCAAAATTATTTATGGTAAAATAATTATAATAATAACAATGCTACAAAATAATAATGATAAATCATCAATAATTTCTAAAGTATTTCACCATACCTTAAAATATCACCATACAGATTTGGCATTACTAAAACATCAAACTGTGTAGGATCTTGTACCATCTAAAAATATAATGTGTTAACATTTAAGAAACTTAGAAGACAACAACTTTCTTAAGGATAATTTTCCATCTCGCACTACTCAACAGAGATGGGTTTTTGTTGTAAGCAGAGCAAGAATGTGATGATGTAAAACTAACAACATTGATGTTGACTAGTAAAATAGTGATAAACAGATTATCTAAAGACTTTCAAATTAAAGTTAGTTTCTCAGCAACATTTTATCTAAGGGCTATTGCCCATTGATGAGATTGAATCATGAAACACTATTAATCTATAGATGTAAAAGTTGTTTAACTGAGTGAAGCAGTACTTGCGTATACTGTTATTTTGTAACTGTGTGAGCTAGACTCAGAACGTTTAAAGAAATAATATTCGAGTACATATTTTGTCCATTTTTATTTTCAAAATTATTTCATAATGCCTCAGTTCTTATATCAAGCAGTCAACATCTAAAATAAACAGGGAAATAGTTTAACATTTAATATAAATTTCACCTGAACACTTGCAAGGTTCCATCTAATGTAGATTGTATTTTTTCTTAACCTAAATTCAAAGTGAAAGCATCTTCTCAAAATGACTAGTTTTTGAGTTATAGTTTTTTAGGCTGGAATGTACATGAAAATGAAATATTTTTATACTTACATTTAAACAAACTGTGTCTAAATACATTTCTCTAAATTTCATATCAGGATTTTTTTCAGCTACATGTCGACAGCATTTCAAGAACAGTCCATCAGACATTCGCCTAAATTTACAAAGTTAGATATCATTACTAGAGAACTGACTAAATGCATGAAGGATAATAGACAGTTTAAGATAATTCTGAACCTGGAAAGCATCAAAGCAAAAGAAAATAAGACAAAAGTTTGGCTGCATATATAGTAAAATCCTTAAGGTTTACAGATGACCAAAATTATAAAATCAGATAAAAAAAAATAAAATGCTCTGCTGGGGGCGCAGCTTGATACGACCGCAGAGGTCGAACCCTGAAGAGTTGGGGCAAGTATGGACACAACATTCAAGCTTGATACAGCACTGAATTTGGATTGCAATTAAATATTTGACACAGCATAGGTTTCTGACACAGAATGAATGTGGTCTAAGAACTTAAAAATTTAAATTTACCTATTCAAACCATATCATTATTATTTGCTTTTATAATAAATCAGAAATAACCAATTTAAAATGGAAAATTTTAAAGAAAAAAAAGGAAACCCCCCCCCCCCCCCCCAAATTTTTTGAACCCCCTTATGATTCATCACCCCAAACTCAATCCCAGCCTTCCTTTTGTGGTATGGTACCTTGCAGTACAATTTCAGAGAGATCCATACACTTGAATACAAGTTATTGTCTGGAAACTAGAAAAATGCTTGTTTTTTTGTCCCTTTTTGGCCCCAAATTCCTAAACATTTAGGGCAATTAACCCAAACTCAATTCCAGCTTTCCCTTTGTGATATGGAACCTTGTAGTACAATTTCATAAAGATCCATACACTTACACACAAGTTATTGTCCTAAAACTAGGAAAATGCTTGTTTTTTTGCCCCTTTATGGCCCCTAATTCCTAAAATTTTGAGGCAATTACCCCCAAAATCAATCCCAGCCTTCCCTTCGTGGTATGGTACCTTGCAGTACAATTTCAGAGAGATCCATACACTTGAACACAAGTTATGATCTGGAAAGTAGAAAAATGCTTATTTTTGGCCCCTTATTCCTAAACGTTTTGGGCAATTACCCCCAAACTCCATTCCAGCTTTCCCTTTGTGATATGGAACCTTGTAGTACAATTTCATAAAGATCCATACACTTACACACAAGTTATTGTCATGAAACTAGAAAACTGCTTGTTTTTTGCCCCTTTTTGGCCCCTTATTCCTAAAATTTGGAGGCAATTACCCCCAAAATCAATCCCAGCATTCCCTTTGTGATATGGAACCTTGTGGTACTATGTCAGAGAGATCCATAAACTTACACACAAGTTATTGTCATGAAACTAGAAAAATGCTTGTTTTTTGCCCCTTTTTGGCCCCTAATTCCTAAGATTTGGAGGCAATTATCCCAAAAATCAATCCCAGCATTCCCTTTGTGATATGGAACCTTGTGGTACAATGTCAGAGAGATCCATAAACTAACACACAAGTTATGTCTGGAAGTTACAAAAATGCTTATTTTTGGCCCCTTTTTGGCCCCTAATTCCTTAACTGTTGGTACCATAACCCCCAAAATCAATCCCCACCTTCCTTTTGTGGTATTGAACCTTATGGTAAAATTTCAAAGAGATCCATTGACTTAAACTAAAGTTAGAGTGCGAAAACCAATGTGTCTTCGGACGACGACAACGCCAACGTCATACCAATATTTTGCGGTCGTATAAAAACCAGCCTAAACCATCTCAAGCGATATAAATAAGGACCTTATTTTAAAATAAGGACTTTACTTATGTCTAAGAAAAGTGGACACACAGCAATGTTTCAGGTATATAGAAGTCAAGGTGCAACAGTAACTGTTAGGACTAGCAAGTGTGTCTTACATTGAATTTACAAAGCAAAAATAACTGAGGCATCAGTTACAGTGAGTAATAACTGAGAAACTGGAATAAACCATTCAAATAACTGGGTTTTTTTTCTCCACTAATCTAAAGCACATTATAAATCTGTTCGGTATATGTTGACAGTGTGACATACATACATGATATTTGCTTTATGTACAGCAGTAACTGAATCCCTGTTATTATCTCTTGCATACTTGAATGCATACTCTGCAACTCTCATTGATGCTTCTTCTGTTATCAATTTAATACTTTGCACTACACCATCAACAATCTGAAATAAAAGTTATGTCTCAATTATTTGTTCCTTCAGACATCTAATGAAAAAATACCATGACTCTTGCTTTATTTGGTGAGACTATTGCACTTTTCTTCAGTAGGTAATTTTCTAATAACACATTTGTAACATTTTCCATAGATACTTTATTATTGGGTAATAAATATTGTCCTGACAACTGGAAGTACTAGACCTGTACATGAAATTTATGATAGAACTGCCCCACTGATTTAAGGACACTATTATGTTCAAAAAGGCCAGTAGAGTTGTGAGCGACAGTTTGTCACGAACAACTCAATATTCAGTCGATAAAAAAGTCATATTTTCTTATTCACAGGCTTTCTACAGAGCAAAAAAGATTGCAACTAGCCTTTCTTACCACTCCATATTAATAACATACAAAGGAATACATGTTTCTCACTAATATCCAATTTGAAACCATTGATATTTTATTTTGTGAATGATTTTTAAATCAAACTCCATTAACAAACCTTGATTTTCTAGTATTATAATACTGATATCACAATACTGTGTGAATACATGATTTAAGCTATGCTCCTGAAATGTAATACTGTGCTTTAAATTCCATCAAAAGTAATCAAAAACTTTCTGGTTTATATAAAGCAATATGACAATAAATCTGAAAAGGAACATAATACATTCTTTTGAAACATACACCTCAATGGATTCTATTTCTACTATAGTTTATTCATGTTATTTTTCATATATGTCCAAACATATCCACCTCTTAGTTTTTATTTTATTTTTCCTATTGTTTATTGAATCATTGTAATCATTGTATATAAATTTAATGTAATTACTCATCTCAGCTTTGTGCCCTGTGATTAGCAATAAACACTATTCTATTCTATTCTATTCTATTCTATTCTATTCTATTCTATTCTATTCTATTCTATAGACTTACTATATGTTCTATTCCACTATATTCTCCTTCAGTATTTTCTCTAATTGTCACCAGATCTACATTGTTGTAAGGTGTTTTGAAACCTTCTATAGATTTACATGGTCTAACATTGGCATATAATGTAAAAGCTCTGAAATAAGATCAAATGTTTTCAGATTATTTGTTATAAAACATCTCTTTTGTTATAGTTATACAGCAATTTTGAACTTAAGAGAGTGATCTAGTTATCACATATCCCCCCCCGCTCGCAGCAACTGAGATTTTGTTTAGTGGTCCAAAATATTCCTTTCAAATTTTCAATTAATTAATTTTAAAAAGGTTTTCTCCATTTATTTTATGGAAACCACAAAATTTCGAATTTTTCCAACAATCAAGTGCCATAACTCATAGTGGAGTGGTAAAGTAAAAACAACAAAAATCAAATTTAACAGGTCTTTAGTGGTCTAAAACATTCCATCAAAATTCAAATTAATTTCAAAAAGCAATATGGAAACCAAATTTTGAAGTTTTCCAACAATAAAGTACCATAACTCTGGAAAGGTAAGAATGAAACCAATGAAAATCAAACTTAACCTGTCATTAGTGGTCAAAACATTCCATTCAAATTTCGTATAAATTAAATAAAAAGCAGTTCTCTTTCCAACAAGCAAGTGCCATAACTCAGGAACAGTATAATTGAAAACAACAAAAAATTGAAATTAACCTGTCTTAAGTTTAGTGGTCTGATTTAAAAAAAAGTGTTTCTCTATTTATCCTCAGAAACCAGAAGTGTGAAGGAGAAACAGACAGACTGACATGAAGATGAGCTTTTGAAATATTACACAGAATATATAAAACAGGGAATTTCCTTAGATCTGATATAAATGAATAACTTTTTGTATTATGATAGTACTTGTTTCAATCCACCTTTCTTTTTTGCAAGCCTGACACTGTTTTCCTCCACTGCCATGAAATTTAATAAATACATAGAAAAAGTAATCCCATTAAAACATCAATTGATACAACACTTAGTCCAAAGCATATTGTATATGTCTGAACATAAATTTTTATCTCATTTCACTTAATAATACTGTAAATTCAGAAATTAATGCGAGGTTTTTATTAATGCGATAAATGCGACTGAAAGAGTATCGCATTAATAAGAACTCGCATTCTTATATCTGATACATATAACTGTATGTACATTTTTCTGAAATCGCAATAATTAATCTCGCATTTTAGTCCTTTCTACAAAATTCGCAATAATAAATGCATGCAATAATTTCTAAATTTACAGTACATACTGAATAAATTACAATCATTAATACATGTTTGCACAACCTTTTATTTTGACTTACTTCCTAAGTGCTAAATTCAACGACTGGTGACCTTTGCCTACTGGTGTTGCTAATGGACCTTTCAGTCCAACCTTTGTTCTACTCATAGAGTCAAATATTTTTTGAGGTAGTCTAAAGTTTCCATCAGGACCTTTTACTGGGGTTACATCAACATCCTCCCATTCCACAGGTACCTGTAAATTAAGTAGATTTTTGAAAGCATATTATGTATTACAGTATATAATAGTTTTTCACAATTTCCTGATCACTACAAATTTTTGTGGATTTAGGGACAATTGTATTTTCATGGATATTAGATTTCATGATTTTGCTAAAGTTTGCATACAAGCCTATAGACAATTTATTCTTCTTTGTACATTTGAATTCGTGGTATATCTATACCCATGAAATCCACAAAATTGGTATCCCAGAAATAATAATGAATTTACATTACATATTAGAATGAAGTAACCAGTATTACATAACTTATAAGCAGAGATTTTAAACAGCAGGAACTAGGCAATAGGAAAATTCAGTTAGCTGTTGTCAGTAAAATATTTAAACCATTGCATTGCTGTTTTTTTTTTTTAAATAAAAGTTGTGCATGTTAATATTTTTGAGAAATATAAAATAGACTTCTTTTAGCACAGTTGACGAAAAGAACCAATGTCAGCTTTTGCCATCACTTGACATCTGCCGTTTGTTTTCAGTGTTCTGAACAAGTTTGAAACCACTTGGCCAATTGTAATTTTACTTGGCCTTCATCATCCAAAGGGAGAGAATTTAACAAATTATGTCCCATGACTCTGTCATTAAACCACCATGGTTGCTTAGGCTAAAAAAATAGCACACAGGGGTAAAATTAAAAAAAAACTCAATTTGAAATTTCTTAAAAAATACTGTAACAAGCATTCTGTGAGTATTGCATGGCAATACATAGTCCCCTACCGGTTAAAAATTCATTGTATTGGAACAAAATGCTAACTTGATCTATAACTTGTAATGGTGTAAACTATATAACATATATCAAGTCAATATCTTCAAGCATGACGAAAAAAAGTGTTGAAAACTGATTATTTAAGTGAATTTTCTAAGTCCAAGGACCATAACTCTGCACAAAATCATCAGACCAGAACAAAATTCAAACTTGGACCGTAACTTGTCATAATAAAATAATACACAAAATATCAAATCAATATCTTCAAGGATGAAGAAAAAAATATGCGGAAAACTGATTGAGTGAATTTTCGAAGTCCAAAGACCATAACTTTGCACAAAATTATCAGACCGGAACAAAATTTGAACTTGATCTGTAACTTGTCATGGTAAAAACTATTTACCAATTATCAAACCAATATCTTCAAGAATGGCAAAAAAATAAATGCTGAAAACTGATTATTTGAGTGAATTTTCGAAGTCAAAGGACCATAACTCTGCACAAAATCACCAGACCGGTACAAAATTTGAACTTGATCTGTAACTGGTCATGATAAATCAATACACCAAATATCAAATCAATATCTTCAAGCATGAAGAAAAAAAGTGTGGAAAACTGATTTGCCGGACTGACGGATGGACAGATTGACAGAGTGCAAACCTAAAGTCCCCTTCGACTTCGTTGGTAGGGGATTAATAAAGCAATTCCTATAAAGCAAATGTTACATTTGTAATCCCCATTAAGAACTATGGTTGATGACCCAAACCTTCAAAAACTGAAGACCATAATTTTGGAAATATACTGACCAGTTATTTCTTGGACAGTCCCATTATGTAATTGTTGCACAGAATACTATTTTCCAAACTTTTCAATTACTAAGGTACCACTTAAACCAATTAAATATTAATTGTTTAAAAAAAGCCTAACCTCATTTGTTTTATCAGAAAATGTGCAAAATTCTAAATTATACACTACATCAATCAAAATGCCTCCAACACAAGCATAACAACTTTATACAGCAGCTCTAAGCTTAAGATTATAGCTAAGGCAGAAAAGTGGTAACATGGCAGCCCAACTCAAATATGGTGTCAGTGTGAAATGTGTGAGGGGTTGGCGATAACAAAAAGATGCCGGACACATGACAATAAAAGACAAGAAAATGTTCTGTTAACTTAAACCATATTGGCCATAACTTGAATCATATCCCATTTATCCTTGAGCAAAGAGCCGTCTGTAGGGGTTTATCTATCCTTGAGCTAAGAGCCGTCTGTAGGGGTTTATTTATCCTTTGAGCAAAGAGCCGTCTGTAGGGGTTTATTTATCCTTGAGCAAAGAGCCGTCTGTAGGGGTTAATTTATCCTTGAGCAAAGAGCTGTCTGTAGGGGTTAATTTATCCTTGAACAAAGAGCCGTCTGTAGGGGTTTATTTATCCTGTGAGCAAAGAGCTGTCTGTAGGGGTTTATTCATCCTTGAGCAAAGAGCTGTCTGTAGGGGTTTATTTATCCTTTGAGCAAAGAGCTGTCTGTAGGGGTTTATTTATCCTTTGAGCAAAGAGCCGTCTGTAGGGGTTTATTCATCCTTTGAACAAAGAGCCATCTGTAGGGGTTAATTTATCCTTGAACAAAGAGCCGCCTGTAGGGGTTTATTTATCCTTTGAGCAAAGAGCTGTCTCTAGGGGTTTATTCATCCTTGAGCAAAGAGCTGTCTGTAGGGGTTTATTTATCCTTTGAGCAAAGAGCCGTCTGTAGGGGTTTATTCATCCTTTGAACAAAGAGCTGTCTGTAGGGGTTTATTTATCCTGGAGCAAAGAGCCGTCTCTAGGGGGTTAAAACACAATACAGACTAAAATAAGACCTTAGGAATATCAAAGGTATCAAACATTAACAACTTCAAGGGTACAACCTCCTAATGTTTCAGTTTTATGAATCACAAAAACCTTGCAATCAGATGGAGAACACCAATAACCCAAAATTTATCTGCAACCAATGTTGAAAAAAACATTTTTGAGAAAGCAGATTGTGAAGTTCAACATAATCAACACAGACAAAGTTCCGTTAACATTCAACATATCTTTGGATGGTTCAGTCGGGAAAAAAGGTGCTAACCTTACACTCTACAATCACATCTGGTAACGAGAAGCCCCACTTTACAGAACTTATCTTTGCATGAATTGCCCGCAGCAACAAACTACATGTACTACTAACAGTGACTTCTACGCCAATGATACCTAGTAGCGTGAGCCAGCCCTCAGCTGGTGAGCCTTGTTCATTTCTAAAATTACAATTAAAGAGAAACTTGAGTCTAGTGTTGTCATGGTTGTAGTATATAACAAATAAAAGGGGTTAATGGATAATAATGTGATGGACCTTTGGCTTTGTAGCTGTTATGTTAAGAGGCCAAGCACCTTCTTCATAATTATAAAAGTGTTTGTAAATTTTAAACTCCATGGGAGCACACATATAAGTGATACTTCAGATGATTTGATCAAAGCCATGAATTCCATACTGGCTGTCACTCCAGGTGGGTTCTACTTCATCTGTGACCTAAGAACATTTGATGTGAAATTATTAAAAATTTACTCAAGTGACTATTTAGTTGAATTATTTTTAAAATGGATTAATGCTTAATAATGATTCCTCTTACTGTAATACATCTTTGCTAGCCAAGGGTTTTGATAAGTTAACTCTTTAATATGCAGGACCGTCCAAACCAATAATAATGCAGAAAAATACTGAAATGGATTTAACATTATATATGTATAATGAAGTATTTAGATACAAACCCCACTAGCACTGAAGATATCTTTTACAGACTGTGAAATTTCTGGACCAATTCCATCTCCTGGTATCATTGTGATCTGCTGAACCTGTCAATGTTTAACATTCATATTACTATAATATGTTTTTAAAGTTAATTGTCTATTTTCAAATGCCCAATATACAATATATATATAACCCAGAAGTATTTGTGACTTTTGTGTATATAATAATGTATAATTTAATATGTTGTTTTTTAAGGATTTGATTTTGATAATACATGTACATCTACAGTGACCTTTGGTTGGTTACATCCTTGACCTTTGGTCTATGGTGGAAGTTTGTATCATTGGAAATCATCGGAGTTCCTCCTTATTCATGTTATTGTTATAACTTGTATGTATTGGTATAATAATTTGGATTTCTATTAATAGAGAAGTACCTTGAGAACGGTCTTTCTATAGAAAATTGTCTCAGTGTATGTGGCAAAGAGATCATCTATATGTAGGCCATATTGTTCAAAAAAGGTTTTTTATTGAAATAAACTCTTTTCAAGCAATGTTGTGTGGGGCTATTTTCTATACTTTGAAATGAAAAGAAAAGGCAAGACGAACTATAAAATTGCGTAACAGTATAAACATAATGATAAAATATAACAAAAAAAATTAAAACTAAACAGCTTATGTGCTTAAAAAGATATATATCACATTAGGATACTTGTAATTACTGTTTGACACCTAAAACAGCTACTAATACTATTGTACAAAAAATTTTAACATTGAAATAGCTACTATTGGCATATAAAATAGTTGCTAAGATATTTTAAAGTTTTATGTATTATCCGAGACCACTCATACAATACACTTGAACCTGAGAGATCTTAATTGAAAGAGTACAATTTCCTGTTCTTAGCTTTTTAAGTCTAGATAGGGTTTTGTCTTATATAGAAAATGGGTAAACAAAAAACAAAGTATTGAGAATAATTAGTGATAAAATATAAAGAGTAGAGAAAAATGCCGTAAAAAAATAGAAAATTATCAAATGGAGGTCCCAAACACAGCAAGTCTCACTTAGCTGTGCACCAGAACCTAAAACCTATATGCCCTACAATGAAGGACAGGACAGATATTCATTAGCTTGATACAGAATTTTCATATTTTGGTGCTTATACATAGAAGTGAATACAGTGGCTGAATACTATGTTTTTAAATGCGTGAGTTTATAACAATTCTTGTCTTTCTGTAAATTAACTATTTTATCATGAAACTACCATACACTAATTATATATATTCAAATGTCTTAAATTGTGGTCGTATGAATAATTTATTCGAATCGAAAATGCTGACTGACCAAATCTATTTTAATCAATTAATTTGTACTTGTAACAACAAACTATGGTTATGTTACAAGGTAAAAATGACTTTCTGACAAGAGAATTTATTTTTCATTGTTTCAATTTCTAAGTAACAAATTTTATCAGAAATACAATTTGTACTTTTGTTATTTTGAAAATGACTTTTGAAATGACAAAAATTATGAACACTGGCTAAATCACTGAGAAATCCCTGGCAAGTTGCAAGGATTCCTGCTTGATCATATAAATATAACTAAGTAAACTTACACCTGAGGACATCTGCCTGCATGATGTAAGACTTTGTGGGGTCACCTGAAAATAAAAGATAAAAATAAATATATAAAATCTCCATGAATAGTCATGTGACTATGTGTGGTAATATGAAGATAGAAAGATACATGTAGAACACATTATCAGCCCTAGATCATTTTCATTTGTTCCAAGAGTTTTGATGGACAAAAAATACTGCTTTCTTTTTGTCAAGGCCTTGTTATATGAAGCTATTGGTCTGCTTTAAATACCAGTCCAGCATTGCTGCCAACCTAAGGAAATGAGAAATCATGTAATGACATGACATGACATATGCATGTTACTTTGCTCTGAAAGAGCAACTTAAAAAAGTTAAAGCAAGCTTACAATGAATGAAATTTGGGGAAGAAATCAACTGTTTTCTGAAATGTGTATAGATAACTGGTGAAATTGTTTTGAGTTATTGTCTGAAAACTGGAAAATCCCCCCTTTTTTAATGAATAAAACCCCAAAACTCGGAAACGGTAAATCCAAAATTTATAAAAAACGAAAGGGAGCTCACGTCAATAGATATGAACAATTCACAAAAGTTTCATGCAAATTGGTGAAATTGTTTTTGAGTTATTGGCCGAAAACTGGAAAATCCCCCTTTTTTAATGAATAAAACCCCCAAACTCGGAAATGGTAAATCTCAATTTTATAAAAAACGAAAGGGAGCTCAAGTCAATAGATATAAACAGTTCACCAAAGTTTCATGCATATTGGTTAAAGTGTTTTTGAATTAATGTCTGACATGTTGACGACAGACGGAAGGACAGACGGTCAACAGTATACCATAATACGTCCCGTAAACGGGCGTATAAAAAAATATAAGATACATATGCCGATATGGCCCTTCATATTATAGTAAAAAAACAAACATTATTTAGATATATATTGATGCTAAATTTATTTTCTTGCCACTAAATTAGTTTTATTGAAGCTAAATAATAAAATTATTATTCTTGTCGCTAACTAGTGAGACCCCTTTTTGGTTTAATCCACAAAATATCTATATTCCTGACCTGTTCAAGGGCAAACGTTATTCTATTTTACTTGCTTAGTGAAGGGCACTGATCTGTAAGCCAATTCGGAAATGATCCACAGCCAACAAATTTTGTTCATATAAAAAACATAATACATTTAAAGCAATAGATCCGTTCCTTTAAGAAAAAGAGCTGATGACAATTTTCTGAGTCTGATTTTGACGAACAATGAACAGATAGAAATGCGTTTCTTCTGATTCTTAGTCAAGCTCAAACAAAAAAGAAGAAAATACTACAAATATCTTGTCAATTTCTGTAAATTACGCTTAACCTTTTCTGAAAAGCAGACAATCGCTTTCCTCAGCAACCGGCTTGCCATGTTCTGATTCAACCTTGTCAAGGACGTTGATTTAGTAAGAATCCGTAAGACGTTTTATGCAGTTTGACTGAGTATTAAATTTATGTAACAGGTATAACGCACAACAACGGACTCCTAATTTTTATTTTTACATCGGATGACCGTGAGGGCATTCCGGTGTATTGTTGCCACAGACATTTCTACCCACGAGACTTTCGTTTTTGGCTGATAACCGAACGCAAAATAACATTCCTTATCCTTGTTATATATCAATTTCATCAATAAATATTCATGAAAATAGTTTTTAAGAACATAGATAAATGATATGAAAAATGTTTTGTCGTGAGAAATATATATATCAATAACAAATCAAGAATACCGAAAATTTGTGTTAACGCATGCGGAAGAATATCTCAAGAACGTGTTGCGGGAAAATATGAATGCCTACTCAAATCCAATCTATTAGAAAAATCGAATTATTACAGAAGAGTGTACACCATGCACTTGCACTGCACTATTATTAGAATAGTAGAATAGCATGATATACAAATGGATGAAAAACTGAATTATATATACACTTAACTGTTATATACAAATATTTATATAATATATAACAACAAACCAGAGTATATACTGATTTGTATCACTACAATATAATAGATATTACGGTGAGGTTGAATTCCCTGTCATTTATTCATCATCAACGCACGAAGTTGTCTCAGAAAAAATATATCTATGTACCTTAACCTCACTTTAAGGCATAGAGATGTGATTTTTTTTTCTGAGACAAGTGCTTGTGACCATCCATGCACAAGAACTTGCGGTCATCCGATGTTCAGTACTTCAGTACTTTGATTAATTCTAGTCTTTTTCATACAAAATTGTCTCAGACGTCCAAATCAGAAAATCGCTCCGGACTCAAAATCCCAAAAGGGATAAGTGTAATAGCAGTCTCAGTTCTCAGTGATATGAAAATCGATTTGTCGTGGAATATTTGATAATTTATAACTGCTGTCTACAACTTATAAATATTCAGTACGCAAAAATGGTTACAAATGACTGAAAAATGTGGATTTGTTGAATTTTTGAATTGCTGTGCCAAATTATACATAACCATAACCATAACATTATTTCAATGATTTTTGCTTTCAAAATCTTTGACAATTTCAAGGAATTGCATATCGTTATAGTTCCTTGATAACAGAAAATTTATACAAATAGGACTATATAAGTTTATTTCAATAAAATGGTAAGCAATATCATTTAGATGCAAAAGATGGATATAACATCACAGGCGGGATAAAAAGTGGATGGAAATTTTGCCAAATAATCATTTTCCATATTCGTAGAAGTATTTTAAATAACCTTATATGAGACTAATAAATATCTATTTTCCCAGCTATCAATCAGTTGTGTTAATTTCTATATAAACTAAACACAATCCCAATTTGGTCCTTTTAGATGGGGTTGGGGGTTGAGGGGTGGGAACTCGTTTTAATACAAACTAAAGGTTTTAGCGATTCTTTTTTCATAAGCAATCGTTTTAAATAAATATTGTTATTGAATATTGATGGAAATAAAAAGTATTTGAAAGTTCCCGGTATTTAGAATAGTTGTTTAACTTTTAAAAATCAAAACATCAGTAAAAAGGGAGTGAAGATACGAAGAGGGCAATCTAAAACCCTAAGTCTAAGAAAAACGGACAGCGCCATGACAACAAAAAGTCCACAAAAGAATACATAGAAAAACCCAAAATTAAGCAACACGAACCCCACAAGAGAATATAAGCGTACAACTTACCTGGTTGTTTACGCTACCACATTATTGAGACTAGGGTTTAAACTAGAGGCCCTAAGGAGACTGTGACACTTACCTGGTATCTTTGCTTTAATGAATAGAGCTGAGTGACAGTAATGAAAAACTAGCATTATCTTATAGTATTGAAACAGTGTAAGCACCAAGTTAAGTTATAGCTTATTTATCTTAAAGTAGATGCGGAATGTGTTAACACGTATTATTATACTTTATGCAAATTTCTTATATATCCATTCATTTCATTGGACAGGCAGCATTTGTTAATTTTCACTTACCTTTCATAAGCCCCGCCCAAGACAAATTATCACTCAAGACTGTCGGTATTCTTGACAACTTAGTTATACATGATGTATTCCACCTAAGATGTTTTTTCAGAAAACTTTATAAAAGCTTGTGCAAATTATGAATTTTAGCAGGAAGACGAGAGAACTAATTTATTTAGATCTTCCTGTTTTGTTCATTGATTTGAACTTTTTTGAAGCAAATATATTTAGTTGGGTCAATTTATTGATATCAAAATCTATATTATCACAGATAGAAATAATACTCAAAGACCTAATCACATTTATTTTAAGGATCAATAAGTTTACACGGATCGTATCTTAATTTACAGGCTCGATAAATAACATGTCCGTACAAATTGGGATAAGTTATCCCATTTGTGATAAGTTTTCTATAGGTACAACCAAATTTCCAAACCAATGAAAGATTTTTGTAAAGAATCTAAGTAATTTGTGCTAACTAAATTCTAAATCCTTGATTTAATAATTTACCAGTAATATATATATATATATATTACGTTCATTGAAACCCAAAACGTCACTACAGACAAGGGAATAGCGATCGAGTTGGGATACATAAACATAATTTTCTGTTCTTCTCATTTGTAGGAATTAGTTCTACGGTGTTTGGTCCTCTACAGCCCCAGACACTCAGTGTGCGCACTCTTGTTTCACTTTGGTCGATTTCGCAAAATTCCGTCATCAGAATTTTGTTTTAAAATACTGTTTTGTTGACTGTTGTGTTTTTGTTGATTTTCCTCTAGGCTATGTATACATGGTTGTTTTTATTCGACTCTCTCTCTCTCTATGTTTGTATGTGAAACACGAAGAAGAAAAGAAAAAAAATTAGAAGGATTCGGCCCACACAACAATATCTTCAAGAGTTATTCAAATCGATTTGCATTAACTTCTATAAAAGAATACCATAATTAAAATTCATATTATAATGTATATATATAGTGTATAGAGGAATTTGAATGACAAAAGAAACATGTAACATAACATAGACATGTTGTTTAGTTCTATTCTCCATGAAACACTTTTTTTTATAAAGATATATAGTAGTACTGAACTATTTACCAACCGCTGTACACTGTATACCAACAATGTAAGAAAAACACCAGACCTATACTACCAGACAGTAAAATGTATGCAGGGTATACTTTTATGAAATGGATCACTCATCAAAATATATCTTTCCATTCGATGATAGATAATTAAAAAATAGTTTCAAATTAAAAGCCGCTTAACTCTTGATGGAAATTAAAACTCTTGGTGGAAATTAAAATAATATTCACTATACTAATACTAGATAGGTATATGTTGCAGTTGCCTCCCTTTTCACGAAATACAATTTTAATGCTGTCTCTATAACTGCAAAAATCATTATGAATCGCTCAATATTTGTGTATTTCTTCCAATTACGAAAATATATAATTTGCAAAAATGGCTAATACTAAATTATGAATCATAGTTATCCAAAAAATTGCGATAAATAGTTTGTTTTATTGAAAAATTTTCAACTTAATTCCGACATTTTCAATCTACTTAGAACTATCTCGGATGTATACTTACGCAGTCATGCCCGTTTGAAAAAAAAGGACGTATCTGATGTCCCCTGCATGGAGAGTTAAATATTTAATGTAGTTATAAGTTTATTTTCTTGTGTAGATATTTTATATTGTCTTTTTTCAATGTTTGTTAGTATTCTTTTTTTTTTAACTTTTGTAAATATTGTCTTTTGTATGTCTTGTGTAACGATGCGACATTTGAATGTTAAACCTATAAATGATTTGATTTGATTTGATTTGATTTAATTGTAATAACTCTTTGAAGGATCATTTCCCATGCACCCTCATTCTGGTTTACCCAGAACCGACATGTTTCTCGTCCTCAATATGAACGAATAATTTCTACTGAACATTAAGCTACAGCAATCAATCAATGCGTTCATCAACAAAAACAATACAAAAAGTGTTGCGACAGAATTATTGTATATTATTTGGGTTTTATTTTCAGAATAATGTTGATTTATTTATTTTAGAACAAAAAGGAAAGGAAAAAAATACTATCTGGAGTCCAATGCCAACGGGTCCTAGACAAAATTATCTTTTATATCAAATTATTGGAAGATGGATGGATTATTACTCTACGAAAATAACGTGTATACTTTCTTATTTCCTGGAATGTTATACCATTCAAGAGGGTGTGGGTGGGGTTTACAGAATAGAGAATAATGGACCAATACTACCGAATAATGGACCAATAAATAAAGAATAGAGCATAATAGGGGAAAAAATAAAATATAGAAAATAATGGGATATAAAAATACAAAAAGAATAGAGAATAGTGGGAAAACATATAATGAATAGAAAATATGGCTTAAAAAATAAAAAATACAGAATTGAGGGATCCCCATCCAGACCCTCATTCAAGTATGACCATCGTAACATCAAGGTGTTATCAAAACATTTTTTGTTTGTCAAGTAGTTGAAATTCAACACGTAATGACAAGTCAATTTTATTTATAACTGCATTCTAACAAAGAATTTTACATGCGTTAACAGTAAATAATCAGAACATAATGAAATATTTACACATGTTTTATAGGAATCAATAAAGAATTTATTCGTTTTATTGTAAGCCCATTTATATTCTCGATGAAATAAAGTTCGAGTGAAGTACAAATACAAACATCTAATGATCTGTAATTTAACCAGATTGCCTTTACAAAAATGTATAGTCGTTACTAAGAGTCTTCAAATTGGGATACGGATTTTACAGATGCTTATATATGTGGACTTCAGCTTTCGTTTGAATAATATTCTACAGAAATCTTACCAAAATATTCAAAAGAAAGAGTGTAAGAAATTAGGGTAAAGTATTCAAATAAAAAGAACATAGAGAATCGAGTATCGCTGTCAATGATGTTCCTATTACAAGTTAAATATATGTTATTATAATATTTTACATTTATATTTAATTCTATATTTTCAGCATGTTCTATCGGAGAACACGATGTTAGATTGAGATCCTAAACGAGTAATAACCATGAATAACTGAGTGAGAACGACACGTGTGTCCTGAACAAGTCTCAAGATAGGGATGGAAAATAAAGTAAAAAACATCACAATTGAAAATTTTCCAGTGCCAAAGCACATGATTCTAGACCGATGTACCACCAAGTACTGTCAGTTAACTAGCATTTGTAAGTGACCAAATGATATTAAAATACACATATAACACAAATTTAAATACACATGACATTAGTATCTGGAGTTACCTTCATCAAGTAGGTTAGAGACTAAAAGCGGGAGATGCCAAATATATATTTTAGCTTTAGAGTTAGAGCATCAAATCCGAAGTTGGTCTTACCTAAACAGCCAAATTCGCTCAGGTGAACTTTTCTGGGAAGGTGTTAGTAAATTGACCTAACTTTAATCTGAAACTATATAATCTGTCTTTGAATAATAACAATCCTGAAGCACTATATACGTAAGAGGATATACCTTCGGGGGCTAACAGTTCACCACCAGCAGTACCTATGGGGCATTATTTCCCAACTAGATAATCTTCATTTACCACAAATTACTGTTTTCATTAGTTCTGCTGTGTTTCCCTTTCAATTGAATTATATTCAATATTTTATATAATTCAATTTGATCACATCTCTGAATTCATAGCGGGAAGAGAACCTTTCAAGACAGCATGAATGTTAAGCAAGGTCGAACTTTGAAGGATAAATTCGTCTATGCCCCGTGTATGATACATAAACTCTTTTTCTTTTAGACTCCAGTGTTGTTTTGTGAATTGTCGAACAAACATCGATCACTATCATAATGACATCTTCAATATTGTGTCCTTATTCCATCAAGACTACTTGCGAGGGTTTGGATTGGGAGGGATAGGGTGTCCCTTATTTCTTTATTCTTTAATTTTTTAGAACACTTTTTTCTATTCTTTATCTATTTTGTTCATTATTCTCTATTCTTGATATTTTAGCACCCCGTTATTCTCTATTCCTTATTTTTTTGTCATATTTTTTCTCTTTTCTTTATTTTTCTTGTCCTTTGTTCTGCACTTATCAACAATATTCTCTATTCTGTAAACCCCATCCAGACCCTTATTTGTCCACTTTATGCATTGCATTCACTGATACTACAAAAACGTTAATTACAGAAAATAACATAAAACGTCAAGTACGTGTAAGATATTCTTGATTATTGGGCAATATTTTTATTGTCATTTAATATTTTCTCCATTTTCAAGCATTTTCTCCCATTTAATTATCTGGGATACACCATTTATTACTATATTCACCAGCTCTACTTCAGTGTGTCCTAATCTGTTGGCATTAGAAATGTCCACAATTCCGCTACGAGACTCTGTGTCGACTCCGCGGTGACCGCGAGCCTGAAGGCCCATTTGGCTTACCCTTTCTTTAAAATCATGCCGAGAAGATAAAAGAGGAATTTTGACTAAACAGCCTGCACGTAAGCTAGTGCCAAGATTTGAAGGACAAGCTGCTATATAACCCAAGTGATCATTATACATAAACTCTTTTCCTTCAGAACTAAGCTCTGTTTCGAGTGCCTTTAATAAATCCACAAATCGTTTAAAAACACCTTGCATATCTGCTCCTCCCTCCATTGAAACTACTCTTACATGATCTTCCTCATTCACCCAGACAAATGCATTTTTATTTTTGTTGTGAAATACGCCCCTCGCATCTGGCCAGTCACAATAGACTGCAGACGACATGTGCAAAGGAGAAGAATTGGTATCCTGAAAAAGCATCCCCCTTAAACGTAAGTCTGCTTCCATTTCAACCGACATTCCGTTGGGTTTAGAAATATAAGAACAAGAACCGTGAAGTGGGAAGTAATCACCTTCTAACTCTCCACTGAGTTTTGATAAAGAGTTTACTATAGTTTTCTCAACTAACCGTCTTTCATCAAATGCAATTGCAGGAGAAAGTCTGTATCCTCGGATAGACCGCCCACTGCGGACACGACTGGTTAAAACATACTTCCCAGACGGATCCATATTTTTATCATTCACCTGCGCAGAATCTAAATTACTTATATGTTGAGCAAATGGCAAATATCCATCATGTCTTCTATTTATTACAGGATCAAACACATCTGCAAACATTTGATAGCTTTCCTCATCACCTGCTACGATGCCGCAAGTTTTTATGTGAGGATGGCTTGGATGATCAATTCCAGTTTTAATACACTGAATAAAAGAAACTCCTAAACTAGTTTTCTTATCCCTTAGTTTCTCATATAGGTCGGAATTAGACCATAAAACCTCTGCCATGTAGTTCTTGTGATTGGAAAGGTCTGGTATTTCTTTCGGTGGATTGGTTAATGAAAATTCATGAAGTAAACTGGGTGTCGTCACGTTATCCATTTTGTTCTAATATAGATTAAAATTTAATATATTTTGCTAATAATCTGTATAACAATTGAATATTTACTTCTTTCTGAAAAAGAAAAAAAAAAGAGCATTTTTCAATAATTAAATTCATGTAAGAGAATAAGAAAAGTGTTAAGTATCACTAGACACAACAGCCTCCTATCCTCTCCCCTTCCCGAAAAAAAATAATAGTACTGAGCAACTGTGTGATCATATGAAACAACAACAACAATATAAAAGGAGATATAGAACAAAAAGATAAATAGCTTCAATATTACTTCAGTCAATTTGTTACGGGATAGATGATAAAATCTTTCGCCTTGACAAACTGTTTTTCTGAAACGTCTATATAATTCTCTTTATGTATTTTATATGAGTCACAAATCATAAAGATATGTTATAATTTGAAGTAATGGCACCAAATGATTTATAATTATTTCGACCAAAACGATTATTAAGCTTTATATTTTTGGGTTTATTCACAAGTTTTAGGGCACATGATTGGGAAAGTTTCCAGGAAATAATGTATTTTAAAGGCAGAAATATTTGTCTGAATTTTAAACACGTAAAGCCATGTTTATGTTATAATCTCCATGGCACATCATTCAACTAGTAATCGACTTTTTGTGCTCATGTATCTCAAATGTTTAAAAAAAAATTATTATTTGGTCAACCGTTAAACATTGTTTTTGGGATAAACGTGGACAAATGTTCATAGATGGTAGCTGTAATTGAATAATTGCACCTGTTATTAGGATTAGAGTGAAATATGTCCAAACCAACGAACCTTTTAATGTATTTATAGGCTATGCTTGAACTATAAACTTTGTTCATTTTTCTAAAAGAGAGGCGAAAGATATCAAAGGGATTTTCAAACTCATATGTCGAAAATAAATTGACAACGTCATGGCTAAAAAAGAAAAAGACAACAGACAAACAATAGTACACAAAACACAACATAGAAAAATAAAGACCGAGCAACACGAATCCCACCAAAAACTGGGGGTGATATCAGGTGCTCCGGATGGTAAGCAGATCCTGATCCACATGTGACATGCACCCGTCGTGTTGCTCATGCATGTGCAAACCCGGTGATAAGTCTAATTGATTAAAAGAACTGCACACAGTTTCACGAGGTATAACCTTTGTGACAATATTTGGTTTGCAGCTAGAATATACACCAAATTTATTTTTGAATAAAACTAGTGTACAACCTTTTATCTCTTTTCCCTTTGGGTCCTGGAATTTTTATGTCAAGCTGTCTCATAAGCGCCGAAGTGAAACGGTTTGAGTTTGACCGAAAGGTATTTTTTTGGTAGTTATTTTTTTAATAAAACTATTGTACAGCGTTTCATCTAGTTCTGAAAAAAATTTGATTAAGCTGTATTATAAGCGCTGAAGTGAAACAGTTTGAGTTTGACCGAAAGGTGTTTTTGATAATTATTTTTGAATAAAACCATTGAACAACCTTTCAACTCTTCTACCCTTTGGGTCCTGAAAAAAATTGTCAAGCTGTATCATACTTTTTTATATTTAGTATATATACGGATAAAATTTACAGTGAAGAACGGTTTCAGACCTATTCTGTTGTTAATTTGCCTCTTTTTTCAGGAAAAAAAATGAACTCATTAAGTTCTTCTGTTAATGATGCATTATGCATTCGTCAATAAAATGCACTATTCATGAAATTTTTTTTTTTTTATTTCAATGAACCGGTATCGCTCACATTGTAAAAATATCCAACATTAACACCATGATCAACAGTGACAGTTATCTTTCGCACACCAAATAAGACCAGGTTTGCACCAGGTACAGTCGGAGAACAGTTAACCCCAACCTAAAAATATGCAAAACCCTTTCAAACGGATGACACTAAAAAGGAGTCATTTTCATCACTTGATTTTCTTGTAGAATTAGCCTTGCTGATCATTTTTGCTGTATACAGTCTCTCTCCAACTAATATAATTTCAAGATAATTGGAGAATTCAAATTTTAAATCTATCTATTATATTTTTCAAGACAGAAGCTAAAAAATGAAGTGAACAATCAAAACATACAAAAAACTGGTAAAGTTAATGTTACAAATAATACACAAATTTGACATGTTGAGAAATGATTAAAGTCATTTTTGCATGATAATACTATGTTCGCTTTGAAGACGTTAAATCTAAGATCTCAAATATACAAATAAAATGTGTGTACCAGAACTTTTATACCCCTGCGTCAGCGGATGGGGCATTGAGTGTTACGCTTTCCCGTCCGTCCGTACGTACGTAAAGTTTAGTTTGCCTCAACCAAATGTTATGAAACTTATATACACAATGCTTTTTTACCCAAACCACAGATCAAGTTCGAATTTGGGTGGCGTCACTTTTACCGTTATTGAGTTATGCCTCTTCATAACGTTATATGCAAGAGGGGACATCGTCTGTGTCCCATGGACACATTCTCTGTTTATTTTTTACTAAAATATTAACAGTGACTGAAGTCTAACTTTTTTTTACCTTGATTCTAGAATTTCACATGGAAATACTGAATTTTATAAAAAAAAAAAAAAAATTATTGTGGTATTATGATTTCCCGCGCAGAAATTTCATATAAAGTGGTATATGGCATCCAGCTTATTATATGTTAGCTTCAAATATAAAAAAAAAATCGGCTTTCAAATACACCAGTTTCACATTTAACTGCGCATGTCTAACCTAATTAGCCAAACTGTGAAATCATGCGATAATTCCCGAGAATTCATCGACTGGGGGCTTACGGTTGATGTAAGCAGTGACCATGCAGACCTGGAAAAACAATCACCTGATTAAGTGTTTGCGTTTATATGTACACGAGCATCATTTGAATCAAAATATATATTGACGAGACAACTTTATTAACAATGACACATTAAAAGATTTTGTTGTAGGTGTTGTAGGTTTTAGTAATAGACGATCTAATATGCCGCCTGACTTTGTACCTTTAATTGTCCCGAAGAAATGCTTGGATTCCCGCTGAGGTTTGTCACTTAGCGGGAAGAATAAATTAGAAAAATAAGCGGAGGTCACTTCATATCAATATATTAGGTCACTGATAAATTAAGAAGTCAATTAACACCTTAGCCATGTGGAATCCTAGTTTTACCTTGTACAATCTCACCAGGTGACAATTGATAATAACGTACCCTTTTCTTCATACAGTTGCTGAAAAGGGGACGACCATTTGATATTCTGACGGAAGCCAGAAGGATTTTTTCGGATTGAATATTCATCGTCATCTGTTTTGCTTCCTGGGAATATTATACTGTCAACCACGATTTAATGTCCCAGTTGCTATGCATTCTAATATATTTTTTTTTGGCTGCGCGAAAATTTATTTAACTTTTGTTCACAATTATTTCCTGCATTTTGTGATGCAGATTTTTCTTTTTCATCTTGCCGTGGGCAAAATTATTTATTGTCAGCTCTTACTAGGACAGGATATTCAATTTGTCTAAAATACCCACCCCCCGGCCCCCCGCAAATCAAATGGTCATCCCCTAATATAGATGTTAAAAATGTAAACCCTGTTTCTGTATAAGATACATGTACCTAATTTACACTGAGATATTACGGTTAATGCAACTAGATATATTTTAATGATTTAGGAGGGGGTCATTCAGCAATTTGATCTTATTTTATGGTAAAGCAGGATATTCAATTACTGATAATGATATCTTATTGTAAATTCTTTCATTATTAATCAGAATAAGTAAACAGATAATTTTTACATAACAAGGATTTTACTAGTACTACGTCCGAAGCTTACGGATATGTCCACATTTTTTAATTATAAAACCAAATACATGTTCTAAAGAATATATAATTGAATTACTAGTACCTGTTCTTAGAGACACTCAAAATGTTAGAGCGTTGAAATATTATACAATATGTTATGACGAAGTAAATGTATACATGAACGCATGCTGATTAATCAATTTAAGTAATGACAGCTGTATAAAAAGAATCAATATTGAAAAAAACTACATCATTTGTTACAAAAATCTAATGCGAATGTCTTTCTACACGTTTAAAATCCCTGTACATGTACAATACATAATAGCTATACGTTCGCCGTGAAAAACATACAGTGTACTCAGTGGTATCATCTGTTTACCTGCCTCCAGCACACACCAAGAGAGAGAGAGATGTGTATTATCGGTATTTATTATTGTGTTGCCAAATATAAGAATAAATTGGATAGCCCCCTGTCACGTATGATATCGTTAATTATCGCGGGATTTAAACTAAAACGCGCATATGATTTCGAGATCAGGGTTGATAAGTCGCTTATGTGAAATTGGTCTATTTGTAGATGTAACATTTGTTTATCGGATGAACGTAGATTATGTTATGCACCCTCTCATGTTATATAATATTGTTGTTTAACTTGCCGACTTAAATAAAACTTAATTTGATTGGACAATGTGTAACACTTGGTGCAATAGGTTTATTGTAAGCAGAAACCCTCTTTATAGCGAACAGGGAATTGAAGTCTGCCCCATTAGAATAAAGGAGCAAGTCAGCGAGCAGAAGAACACATTTCAACTTGGTTCCTTTAGGAATGCCGATTTTCTGTTGAAAAAACACATTCAGCAAACGTAACAAATATGGAAGGATACCCCATATCCTTCCGTTTTTCTATCATGTCATAAAATAAAAAAAATATACAACATCATGATGATCTCAGTTCTTATCACAATGGTTTGTCCATTCTTAAAACAAGATATTTGTATCTGCGTTGGCCATTCTGTTTTAGGAAATTAATTTGGAATAATTCTTTCAAACTGTCTTTAAGCTTAGAATGAGATATACTAGTGTAAAAAGTATAAAAGTCAAATGTTTTTATACTGTAACACGAGGAGATCCGAAGGGACGAGGATTTTGTGAAGCATTTGGCAGACGAAGCAATACAACGTTTTTTGTAAGTGCACCTTTGTAACCTGGTATCCAGAAGAGTGAAAGAAGATTCAGCTTTTCACCTTTAGTTGAAATTCCAAAGGAACGTACAATCGACATATGATTGTTCAGTATGTCCTCTTTAGTACATGTCAGGGGAATATATATTGGGTTGCCATATGAATTGTGTAAACCTAAATCATTAGCGATTAATACAATGTTATTTAGAAGAAAAAAAAACTATTATTGTTTGGGACTTGTCTGCAGGGACAACGACATTTGGGTCTTCATAGACAGATGTAGCACGAGTGTTCATAGACCCATTAGTTTCCACGTGAAGTCGTCAATATTGAAATGCTGCAACACATGTTTGTAGTTGAAAGTTTTGGTCGCAATAGGTGTGTTATAGGTATTACAGTTGATAGGCATACTAGTATCCGATTTTCAAAAAAGGAGGCATTTTAGATTATACAGATTGATGAAGGATATTGTCTCAATTATAATGTCATCAATACCTTTGTTACCAAAAGAAAGTTTTTATAATGGGATTATGACAGAATGTCAAACTGATATGAAAATTCTGCAATCATGGCCAATAACCAAAATGATAGCTGACTGTTTGTATTGTTTAGAATGGACATTTGTGACGGGGGGTTTCCAAACAAAGTTTGTTTAAAGAATTACGTTTTTATAACGACACGATAATTTACAACATTCGTGTTTTCCCAACATACGTATATGTATTAAGATGAAAAGTTCTCTTTAAATAAAAAATATAGCCCTCTTGATTTGATATAAATGTTAATTTAGTGCAGTGGTGCACGAAAGTTTGGGCCTGATACCTTATTTTGAATAATTGAAAAGGTTATTCAAATACAAACAATTATCAGTATGACGTACATCACCCAATTAGTACTTTGAAAAACTCATGCAGTCTTAAAAATACTATAATATATTTTCCATATTGATATAGCCGGGTAAAATGGCGTTCCGGCTAAATGGAAATCAAGAAGGAATATTTCGCTCCTTAAACTTTTATTTTAGCAGTCCGGCAAGACCGAACAACAAACTCCAAACCAAATGTAATGTAACATACAAACAATAACAATATATATAAGCACAAGCAATTAAAGGATTAAGAAGATTAACATATGCCAAAAAGAAATAACAATAGATTAGAAGAGTAATTAATGTCCGACACGTATAAGTAAATTATTGTCTAAACTGTTGCAGAGAATAAATAATTAAATGAATAGAGTAAATGAATTTAAGTCCTTTGTCCAAGATTATGACACATAATCCGTGTAAAACACTTATGCCTAAATTTACGACAAAGTTCATAATAATAAAATAAATGCAAAACAAGAATATACATTAAACAATTGAATTCATAAAATGTTGTTTAAAAACTAATTTCATTGCACAGTCCAAATTGTCCGGTCATATTATGGTAAGATCAAACAAAGATTTTTCATACAGAGCAATGAATCGCTGTACATGCTCAAAGCTTCATCTAGACCAGTTAAATAGATCAAATGATTAAAATGCTTGATATTGGTAAAATAAAGGCAGATATGTTATATTTTGAAATGATTTGCTTGTAATATTTAGTTTTGGTTGAATTGAAAAGATAACGACGTAATAAGATTGAAATGCAATTTTCTTTGAAAACACACGGTCGTGTTGATGTGCATTTATATTAAACGTTCGATGTTTCTTTAAAAAAAAGAATCGTTGCAGAAAAATAAAACATGTTAAATGTTTATCTTGCTCAAGAAAAGATACTATCGTTATCGTTTCTCTAATCTTATACCAATTTGCTACTGCTAAGTCATTTAGTAATAACCTCATCATAGATACCAGGATTAAAATGTTGTACGCCAGACGCGCGTTTCGTCAACAAAATACTCTTCAGCGACGCTCGAATCAAAATGTTAAATAGGCCAACTAAAGTACGAGTGGAATGGGCATAGAGGACACAAAATTCCGAAAGGTTTTGTCAAATACAGCTAAGGTAATCTTTTCCTGGGGTAGAAAACCATCAGTATTTCAAAATTAAAAGTTTTCTAAAGCGTCGAAAATTTTTGCGAAAATGTATCAAATCTGTCCAACTTGCGTCCAATGATCGTCTTTGCGGTTGCAAAAAACTTACTCCCAAGGAACATGTGTTTAATCGTATGGTTTCATCATTATCCATGCACATATTCTAAATTGTATAAGATTATCAAAGTATGGTCAGGAAAAAAGATGTCAAATAAAAACATCTTTCGGGTTGAGAAGAAAACAGTGAAACATGTTAAGTCTTTGTTCATCACAAAGCGTATGAAGGATAATATGGGAAGGGAGGGAGGGGGAGGGGAGGTAGATTTTTTCTTGTAAAACGACAGAACTTTGTGTCATAATTTACAAAAGCCTTATGTTTCTATTATGGTTCAATTGTCAATAAAAATAAGAAATTCGGAGTCAAACGATAGAATTTAAAATTGGTTAATAAGCTGATTTTACGCTTAGCACGTGGCAGTAAGGAAATGGAGCAATGGAAATCAGAAAGATATGTCCAGTTAGGACGACATGTCTTCCTACGGACTGTTACTTTGTGAAATAGTACGTTAAAAATCCGTCTCAACGTTTCCGTCTAGTTCAAATTCATATCGCTTAAAAACATCTTGTAATATTAAGAAATATTTTGATTTAAGAGCAATTTTATCATTTTCTGTAAATATTGCGAAATTAACCTCTAAATTGTTTTGATTTAGAATAACTGTATTCTGTTCTATACGATTCAAACGATTTTTTAAGAAAAAAAAGTGAATATACAAAAAAGGTCATTTTTATTAATTTTTGCAAAATTTAGAAATGTTAGAGATATTTAACGGATATTACATTGTACGAATTATTGACGATCGGTCAAATCAGACAGAACAAATGATAAGCTTTCGAATGATGTATAATAGTCGTATGTTTTGGGTATGCATTAGAGTCATTAACTAAAAGGCTTTTGAAAAAAAGGTCATTCGCCTACTAACCGATTGGTGTTTTTATATTAATAGTACATAAAAAGTTAAATATGTATGTAGGTGGATAATGTTAAATATACTTCTGATGCATAAACGTTCTTCGACTCCCTTTAAACGCGTTTAATTATTTAAAATACATATTTATAAAAAAAATAATCATGAATAAAAAGCTAATCAAAGATACCATATAATTTGGTACGTCAGGGACTCATTAGTTGCGCTCAAATCAAAACAGTTGACAGACCGAATAAAGTAATATATAGATTGGATCTAACCTAGAAAATAAAGATCTACTGATGTTTTATGGCTTATGTTTCAAACAGTATATTTTAACAAGAATGTAAAAAAATCTCCAATTTTAAATTTCAAGTTTATATCTTAATCTATTATTTAGATAGGGACATTTTAAAAAACATAACACATAATGGAGAAATCTGGGTAGATACAAACCATTTATCTATCATAATACCATGTCATCTGAATAAATTATTTTCAAATTTTTCAAAGCTTTACCAAATTATGGCAAGTGAGTGAATTATAATAGTTTATTTATGGAACACGATATTCAAATTAATGGCAATTACCTTAATGATGCCAATATATGGTAACCTAAAAAAATAAATGTCTACATTTCACTAAATGTGACTTATGGTGGCAATTTTCATAAAAAACTGAATTTTTGGAACCAATACTGACAAATGATGTAACAATTTTGCGCATTTCTCAATAGCCTTTTCCAGAGTAGGTCTGAATACTGGAACAACTATAGATAATTTAAACATTTATGTTTAAATGTTCAGTGTTGAACAAATTTAAGAAACTATAAACGGAGTAAAATGACACTGAAAAAGCGCCATATGCTTTAATTGCTCTGTGTATTCAATAGCACTTTCAACAAATGTAACTGTTTCAGTGATGTTTCCAGAAGACTAAATATACAATGAGATAATGGGTTGACGTCAATGAGA